ATCGCAATGATTGTTGTCATTTGAGAAATTTATTTTTACATTTCATTCGTCAATTAACATTTTTCGTCACAGTTTTTGTTAACGAAATTAATGCTAGAAATGATCATTTACTGTACATATATTTGTAATATAAAATATTACAATATAATTTTTTTAAAATATTTAAATTAGTTAAATATTTTTATATCTTAAAATCTAAAGTTTTTTAACTAGGTTATATTTTAAATTAATTAGATAATATTTTGAATGAATTGCTTAAATTATATTTCAAGTGAGTTTTTGTAGGTCTATAATGTATACCTACCTAGATGTATAAATTTAAAACTATGAACTGATATCTGTCAGTGTTCAGCGATGATTGTTTGACAGCACTAATTACAATATAAAAATTAATTTTAAAATAAGAAATAATTGTAAAAGCTTTTAAATCAAATATATTGCATATGCTTTAAGTGAATTTATAAAGTTAGGTATATTATTCATTATGTTTTAAAATAAATGTAAATATATTACGTTATAATTTAAGTGTTTCTTTTGTAGGTTAGCCATTTTATGAATTATAACTTAATATAAATTTAAAATAGATATAATATAAAAATATGCATAATCTTAAGTTTTAAATTAGATATAATACATGTCTGAGCATTTTAGTCAATGAAAACATTTTCGTCATGCTGTGGTTAAACTGATAAAAAGATTTTTCTGCTCAAAATTATAAATCGCAATGATTGTTGTCATTTGAGAATTTTTATTTATTTTTTAATCTACAACAGTGCCGCACCTTGTTGTAGAGTTCTGTGAGTTTGTAGTAGAACAGGCGGCAGGACAGGCAGCCGAAGCGCAGGTACGGGCTCAAGCCCAGCGGACTGGCCAGCAGCGGACTGGAGTTCATCTTTGGACGCTCGAAGTTCTCCTGCCACGCCTGGAAAACAGCAGCACACGCCTCAGACACACGAGATCACATGACCATTACTGGAGCCACGTGATCACATGACCTCTGCTGGAGCCCACACAAGATCACATGAGCACAGCTGGAGCCTGCACGTGATCACATGACCTCTGTTGGAGCCTGCACGGGATCACATGACCTCTACTGGAGCCGTGTGTGTGTGTGCGTGTGTGTCGTACCGTGTTAGAGTCGGGTCCGAGGTGTCGCTCCAACCTCATCAGCGCCTCTGATTCTCCTCCGGGCCAAACAGCAGGATCCAAAGACTCAGTGTCGAACCCTGAACACAAACACACCCATGATGTACCGCTCCGAAAACAACCAATCCATCTGTGTGTGTGTGTGTGTGTGCGTGTGTTACCCAGCTCGTCCAGCAGGGGGACTCCGTATCTCTCTCTGTGGTTGTCTCAGCAGCGGACTGGAGTTCATCTTTGGACGCTCGAAGTTCTCCTGCCACGCCTGGAAAACAGCAGCACACGCCTCAGACACACGAGATCACATGACCATTACTGGAGCCACGTGATCACATGACCTCTGCTGGAGCCCGCGCGAGATCACATGAGCACAGCTGGAGCCCGCACGTGATCACATGACCTCTGTTGGAGCCCGCACGTGATCACATGACCTCTGTTGGAGCCCGCACGTGATCACATGACCTCTGTTGGAGCCTGCACGTGATCACATGACCTCTGTTGGAGCCCGCACGTGATCACATGACCTCTGTTGGAGCCTGCACGTGATCACATGACCTTTACTGGAGCCTGCACGTGATCACATGGCCTCTGTTGGAGCCTGCACGTGATCACATGACCTCTGTTGGAGCCGTGTGTGTGTGTGCGTGTGTGTCGTACCATGTTAGAGTCGGGTCCGAGGTGTCGCTCCAACCTCATCAGCGCCTCTGATTCTCCTCCGGGCCAAACAGCAGGATCCAAAGACTCAGTGTCGAACCCTGAACACAAACACACCCATGATGCACCGCTCTGAAAACAACCAATCCATCTGTGTGTGTGTGTGTGTGTGTGTGTGTGCGTGTGTTACCCAGCTCGTCCAGCAGGGGGACTCCGTATCTCTCTCTGTGGTTGTCTCTGACGGGCGTCACACAGTTTCCCAGCAGCTCTCGGCTCAGCGGCTCCAGCGGAGGCTCCGGCGGCTCCATGCTGCTCACCAGCGTCTGGAAGCGCTTGTACGTCAGCGGCGGCTGACCGCCATTCAGCTCCGTGATCCTGACACACCACACATAACACAGATTCAATTACGAGAATCATGCAACTGATTCATTCATTTCAGTGATTCAGCTGAAAGGATTCATCCAACAGCATTTTTTTATTTTAAAAAGTTAAATATTATAACACTACAGTAACGGATTATAGTTTTACAATCATATCCTTCTTATATAGCCTAAAAGTAAGATATGAAACATTTGAGTGGCATGCATCTGGTGGGGCAGAGTGTGTTCTCACCTGTCCAGGTCGTGAAGCGTGTGTGAGATCTTCGTGATCACCTCCACTCCCGCTTCAGACGCCAGCTTCTTTATAGCCGCGTCTCGCTCCTTCCCGAACGGCTCCGAGTCGCACTCGAACGTCAGCCGAGACACCTTCCACTCCTGCGGACCAATCAGAGTTATTCTGGACACGCGATCGACACGAGAAAAGAGGAAAGCGAGCTGCAGGACTGTAAAGCAGGGCTGTGTTTCATCTCAACATCAGCCAGCGTTACCTTGAAGAGGCGAGGGAAGATGTTCGCCGGCTGACCGCGGACGACGAACAGACAGGAGTTGAGTTTACGAAGACTGGAGTCCAGATCCTCCAGACACTGCAGCAGAAACCTGACACACACACACACACACACACACACACACACACACACACGTATGAAGAGGTCTGACGGGTCAAGAGAGCCCTACATACACAGCACTGCTGACAGCAAGACTCCTAAACCTGCGTCACTCCCAGAATGCACTGCTTCAAGATACATTCATGAAGGTTATAAATACACAAGTATTTCATTCAGCACTGAAACTGATCGACATATAACTTCAAAATACAAAAATGTGTTCAATTTGTATTTTATTTACTGAATCTGAAACAATGTTTCCTTAACTGAGACAAACTAGAAGCATTTTTTATTTTATAATTATAATAATTTATTAGTAGTATTTATAATAATTGTTATTATATATATTTATATCACCTAAATATATTAATAATAATAATGTTATATAATTATATATAAAATATATTATTATTATTATTTTCGTCATCATCTTTGAAGTATTATTACTTTAATGTGTTAATAATAATAAAACAGTATTATTATGATAACAACATTACATTAAAACATGTCTGTCGCTCTCCTAATACTATCTTTATTTGTTCTGTTTCACTAATGGATGTAAAGTTCTTTATTTGTTGAAGTAGATGTTTCTTATGGATCTGTATTTATGACAGTGAAGGAGGAAGTGCGTCTCTGACACTCTGGAGATAATCTTCCCATTCAGAATTAGATTTTAGAGTTCAGTAGAATTGTAATTTACTTTATGTTTTAGTTTCTTGATCCCGATGTTCCAGATATGTATTTTTAGATTGTTTGATAATATCTCTCTCTCTCTCTCTTGTCTCGCTCTCTCAGTCTCTCTCTCTCTTGTCTCGCTCTCTCAGTGTCTCTCTCGCTCTCTCTTGTCTCTCTCTCAGTCTCTCTCTCGCTCTCTCTCTGTCTCTCTCTCTCTCAGTCTCTCTCTCTCTCGCTCTCTCAGTCTCTCTCTCTCTCTCTCAGTCTCTCTCTCTCTTGTCTCTCTCTCTCTGTCTCGGTCTCTCAGTCTCTTTCTCTCTTGTCTCGCTCTCTCTCAGTCTCTCTCTCTCTCTCTCTCTCTTGTCTCTCTCTCTCTGTCTCGGTCTCTCAGTCTCTCGCTCTCTCAGTCTCTCGCTCTCTCAGTCTCTCTCTCTCTTGTCTCGCTCTCTCTGTCTCTCTCTCTCTCTCAGTCTCTTTCTCAGTCTCTCTCTCTTGTCTCGCTCTCTCAGTCTCTCTCTCTCTCTTGTCTCGCTCTCTCAGTCTCTCTCTCTCTCTTGTCTCGCTCTCTCAGTCTCTCTCGCTCTCTCTCTCAGTCTCTCTCGCTCTCTCTCTCTCAGTCTCTCTCTCCCGCTCTCTCCCGCTCTCTCAGTCTCTCTCTCTCAGTCTCTCTCCCGCTCTCTCAGTCTCTCTCCCGCTCTCTCTCTCAGTCTCGCTCTCTCTCAGTCTCGCTCTCTCTCAGTCTCTCTCCCGCTCTCTCAGTCTCTCTCTCAGTCTCGCTCTCTCTCAGTCTCGCTCTCTCCCGCTCTCTCAGTCTCTCTCTCTCAGTCTCTCTCCCGCTCTCTCAGTCTCTCTCCCGCTCTCTCAGTCTCTCTCTCTCTCGTCTCGCTCTCTCAGTCTCTCTCGCTCTCTCTCTCAGTCTCTCTCTCGCTCTCTCTCTCAGTCTCTCTCTCCCGCTCTCTCTCCCGCTCTCTCTCCCGCTCTCTCAGTCTCTCTCTCTCTCTCAGTCTCTCTCTCAGTCTCTCTCGCTCTCTCTTGTCTCGCTCTCTCAGTCTCTCTCGCTCTCTCTCTCAGTCTCTCTCTCTCTCAGTCTCTCTCTCTCTCTGGAACACGGTGTTCCCTCAGTAGCGTCTCTGTTGTAACTGGAGCTCTCTGTGTTTAAGGCTGAGGAAGGCAGTCAAACTCGTGACGGAGCTGCAGAAAGTGGGTCATCGCCATAGAAACATGTGGCGCCGTCAAACCCCAGTCCAGAGCGGATCCCTGAGAGTGTGTGAGTGCGTGTGAGAGTGTGTGTTCCTGTGTATGTGTGTGTGTGTGTGCGTGTCTGCGTGTGTGTGAGAGTGTGTGTGTGTGTGTGTGTGAGAGTGTGTGTGAGTGTGTGCGTGTGAGAGTGTGTGAGTGTGTGCGTGTGAGAGTGTGTGAGTGTGTGTGTGAGAGAGTGTGTGAGTGTGTGAGAGTGTGTGTTCCTGTGTGTGTGTGTGCGTGTCTGCGTGTGTGTGAGAGTGTGTGTGTGTGTGAGTGTGTGTGTGTGTGAGTGTGTGTGTGTGTG